AGTCTATTGTGGCCGCACAGGTTTATAGGGATTGTGTTATCATAGTGCATGGTTGGGACACCATGGTCGATCTCATTGAATTAGGGATAGTTGATTTTGATGTAATAATTAGGATGGACTGGCTTTATTCGTGTTTTTCTAAGCTCGATTACCGAACTAGGATCATTAGGTTTGAATTCCCAAATGAGCCAGTTATTGAGTGGAAGGGGAATGATGTGGTGCCGAATGGTAGGTTTATTTCTTACCTTAAAACCGCAAAGATGATAAAAAAGGGGTGTATTTACCATTTGGTCCGGGTTACGGACACTGATGCTGAGGCACTTACACTTGAGTCTGTGCCAGTGGTGAATGAATTTCTGAAGGTCTTTCCTGATGAGATCTCTGGATCCCACCAGACAGGGAGATTGATTTTGGGATCGATGTGATGCCAGGCACACAACCTATATCTATTCTACCCTACAGAATGGCACGGGCAGAATTGAAGGAACTAAAGGAGAAGTTGAAGGACTTGTTAGAAAAAGGTTTCATCTGGCCGAGTGTGTCGCCTTGGGGCACACCGGTTCTCTTTGTAAGAAAGAAAGATAGGTCACTAAGGATGTGTATTGACTATCGGCAGCTCAATAAGCTCACCAATAAGTACCCACTGTCAAGGATAGATGATTGTTTGACTAATTGCAGGGTCTAAGTACTTCTCCAAGATTGATTTAAGATCCGGGTATCACCAATTGAAGATCAGGGAGCAGGATATTCCGAAAACAGCTTTCAGGACCCGATACATGCACTTTGAATTCCTGGTAATGTCTTTTGGGCTAACAAATGCCCCAGAAGTGTTCATGGATCTTATGAATTGATTCTTCAAGCCTTTCCTCGACTCTTTTGTGATAGTGTTCATTGACGATATTCTGGTATATTCACGAAGTCGAGAGGACCATGCCGATTATCTCAGGGCAGTTCTGCATACTCTGTATCAGCACTACTTGTATGCAAAGTTTCAAACTATGAATTTTGGCTTGAATCTGTCACATTCTTGGGTCATGTCGTCTCTAGAGAAAGAATTAAGGTTGATCCATAGAAGATTGTCGTTGTGAAGAATTGGCCTAGGCCTACAACTCCAACAGAGATTCGCAGTTTCTAGGGCTTAGCGGGGTATTACAGAAAGTTTGTGGAGCGGTTCTCTACTCTTGCCTCTCCGTTGACTAAATTGACGCAGAAGGCGGTTAAGTTCCAATGGCCAGATGCTTGTGAAAGGAGCTTCCAAGAGTTGAAATCTAGATTGACTACAACACCGGTGTTGACCCTACCAGAAGGCACAGATGGGTTTGTGGTATATTGTGATGCTTCAAGGATCGGACTTGGGTGTGTATTAATGCAACATGGCAAGGTGATATCTTATGCTTCTAGGCAACTTAAGAATCATGAAAAGAACTATCCAACACATGACTTAGAAATCACGGCGGTGGTGTTTGCATTGAAGATTGGCGTCATTTTTTGTATGGGTCCATGTGGATATATTCACGGACCATAAGAGCCTTCAATATATTTTCAAATAGAAGGAATTGAACCTGAGGTAGTGAAGATGGATTGAGTTACTCAAGGATTATGGCATCGATACCCTATATCATCCGGGGAAGGCTAATGTTGTGGCAGATGCTCTTAGCCTGAAGTCTATGGACAATTTGGCTCACTTGGAGGCATATCAAAGGTCGTTGGTCAATGAGGTTCATTGGTTGGCTAGTTTGGGAGTTCGTCTTGCAGACTCTAGTGAAGGAGGGGTGATTGTGCAAAATAGGGATGAATCATCGCTAGTTGTGGAAGTCAAGGAGAAGCAGTACGGCGATCCATTGATGGTAGGAAGGGATTCATAAACATAAGAACACGGCTTTTTCTCTTGGCATGGATGATGGTACACTAAGGTATCAAGGGCGATTATGTGTTCCAAATGTAGATGGTCTCCGGGAAAGAATCATGACCGAGGCTCACACTTCTAGGTACTCCGTGCACCCAGTCTCTATGAAGATGTATCATGACTTCAAGGAAGTCTACTGGTGGAATGATATGAAAAGGGATGTGGTGGACTTTGTGGCAAGATGTCCAAATTATCAGCAAGTGAAGGCCAAACACCAAAGGCCCGGAGGGTTGGCATAGAACATATAAATTCTGATGTGGGAATGGGAGATGATCAATATGGACTTTGTGGTAGGGCTACCTTGCACCCCTCACAAGTTTGACTCGATTTGGGTGATTGTGGATCGGCTCACGAAATCAGCACACTTCTTACCTGTTAAGGCTATCGACACTGCGGAACAATATGCTTAGTTGTATATTAAGGAAATAGTCAGGTTGCATGGCACTCCAGTTTCCAGCACTTTTGATCATGGGGCACAATTCACGGCTAATTTTTGGAAGAAATTTCAGCAAGGATTGGGTACTCAGCACTACTAAAAAATCAGGTTTTAGCGACGGACAAATTCTGTAGCTAAACAGAAAAATCCGTCGCTAATCTCATTTAGCGACGGATTAGCAACGGATTATCAAGAAATTCCGCTAGCTACGAGCATTTTTGCGACAGATTGGCGATGACGTTCGTAGCTAATTCCAGTTTTTTTTTGTAGTGCAGGTGAATCTTAGTACAACCTTTCACCCGCAGACTGACGGATAGGTGGAGCGGACTATTCAAACGCTTGAGGATATGTTGCGCGCTTGTGTTATTGACTTCAAGGGTAGCTGGGATGATCACTTGCCACTCATAGAATTTGCCTACAACAGCAGTTATCATGGTAGCATTCAGATGGCACCGTTCGAGGCTTTATACGGTAGGAGATGTAGATCTCCCATTGGATGGTTCAAGATTGGGGAAGCAAAGTTGATAGGGCCATACCTCGTGCATCAGGCTATGAAGAAGGTTAAGATCATTACAGAACAGTTGAAAACTACTCAGAGTCATCAGAAGTCCTATTCGGATGTGTGTCGCAGGGATTTGGAGTTCAAAGAGGATGATTGGGGATTCTTGAAGGTTTCCCCCATGAAGGATATAATGCGGTTTGGTAAGAAAGGGAAATTGAGTCCGGGGTATGTCAGGTTGAGAAATAAAGAAATTGCCTCCGTGAAAGTGCTATGGCGAAACCAACAGGTTGAAGAGGCCACATGGGAGGCCGAGGAAGAGATAAAGAACAAGTACCCTCATGTGAGGACGAGATGAAGAAGAAGAAATACCCTCATTTGTTTGAATAACTATGTATTTATGAAGTTGTTCTCTATGAAAATGCTAAGAGTTTACCTTCTATGAATGATGTATCAGTTGTACAGTTTATGCTAAGGGAGTTTCTTTCTAATAATATATTGCACATGAGGTCACGGTTGGTGCTAATTTCATGTCATGTTGCGTCGTTGGGTTATGCATGTGTTGTTAGGATTGGTTTCTGGGATTCTCTGACATGTGGATAGGCCTAATTATGGGGTAAACTCTGGTGAAAATTTCTGGAAATTTAGGAAGTTAGTAAAGAACTTGGAACTGCTGGTGTGTGATGTAGCAGTTGAGTCACATTGGATGCTCATGGTGAACTTTGACCCTCATTCGAGTATGAATGATCTTAAGCGAGGGAGGATGTAAGGCCCCGTAAAATTTTTCACCTAAAAATCCGGGGGTTCGTGGTTCCAAGGTAGACTTATATGTTGATGAGTGTAGAGATTGTGATTGTGAATACACCTCCACCCGCACACATTGGGGTGAGGCGGCGGGGCCGCTTTGTGTAGAGATTGTGATTGTGAATACACTTCCATCTGCACATATTGGAGTGAGGTGGCGGGGACCCTTTGTGTCGAGATTGTGATTGTGATTACACCTTCACCCGCACACATTGGGGTGAGGCGGCGGGGTCGCTTTGTGTAGAGTTGTGGCATTGTGGTAGAGATCATATAGAGGATTCCCAACTTGAAATTTATAAATATTTTTGAAAACTTTAAATTATTTTGCTATACTTTTTAATTTAAGCCCTTTTATTGCTTCATGATTCGTCATATTCATGTTGTGCTTCCAATCCTTGAAGGGGGTGTTTGGTTTTGATACTAGTACTATTCGACATCTACTAACATCCCTTTTGCCGGGGGCACTGTATCTTTAATAGATGTAGGTGGTTCCACAGCATACAGCTTTGATCAGTGATAGCGGTGCACCGTCTTCTCAGTTGACTTGGTGAGCCTCACTTTATTTCGAGGTCGTATATCTTTTGCTCCTTGTACATTTAGTTTTGAGGTATAACCGCGACCTTGTTGCCGGCACTAGCATTGTACTCCTTTGTATATATATTAGAGGCTCCGTGGACATAGTATGGGTAGTATGTTGGCGTTGGGAAGGTCAAACTAGTAAAGTTGCATTTGTACCACATGTTATGAAAGTGTATGTATTTTGAGACTTAAAATGATATAACTAACGTTAAAGAATTGATGTCGTTTGCATGATCCTCTTAATTGTTTAACTAATGAAATAGATCTTCTTCTTAATCATGGGGGAGTTCTTGTAGGAGTTATTGTACAGGCTTGCTCGACCGAGTTATCTCGGTTGAGCGCCAGTCGCGCTCCCCGAGGTCGGGGCGTGGCAACGTTAAGCCATCAACCTTATTTTCCCAAGAGATGGGTAATTACTTTAAGTTCAATAGGTATTTTGCATAAATTGCTCTTAAAAAATATTGATTTCTCAAACATTTCAAACAGATGTTTTGAAAACTAGCCATCTGCCTTATTTTCCCATTAAAATTTGTAGGGAAAATGCTACTGTATAAGCGCTTTCAAAATTTTATATATATATACACACATTCTGTATGTTATATATAAAAATTATACAAATTTTATATGCTTTTTTAGCTGCCAAATGTAAATAGTTTCTATCGCGGGCTAAAAGTTATAATACCCCAAGAATGTAATGGCTCTTTACAGTGGACTTGGGTCTTTGGAACAGATAATCTAGTTAAAATCAAGCCCAATCAAAATTAAGCTATGAGCCCGTTAATTCTTATTCGTCTGCCTTGCCATCTCCGGTTCAGCAACCATTCCGTATAAAGCTTTTTTTTGCTCCTCTGCTGATACTGTACCGTGAACTCATAATCCAAAACCCTAGGCCTTCTCCTCAGTGCTAACTCCATTTTTTAACATCAAATTCCCATTTATCAGTATGCCACCAAAAGCAGCTAAAGGTAAAGAAGCTCCTGTAGAACGGCCCATTCTCGGCCGTTTCTCATCTCACTTGAAAATTGGAATTGTAAGCTTCTCTTCATTTTTTCTCGTTTCCACATACACATATGTGTGATCTCCATTTATTTCTCCTTTTCAGCTGAAATTACTATAATTTCTAGAAAATAGTGTACGAATTCGTATCTATTCTTTTGCTTAGTTAGTGAATTTGATCCACTGAGCTTACCAGTAACCTCTCTACATATAAAGTTTTTTTTTTAATTGCTGCAATTACATTCCTAAACCCATAGTTGGAAGAGTTTAAGTTCTATGCATCCTATATATATATATATGCAATTACATTTCTAAACCCATAGTTGGAAGAGTTTAAGTTATATACTTATATATAGAGACTTCAGGCAGATGTACAACTTCTGATGAGGAAATGAGACTAAAGATTGGTTCAGTTTTCATGTGATAGCTCGTTGAGCTTTATGTGGATTTTACGTTTATTTAAATCTGTATAAGTTTGATGTGAGCTTGTGTATGGACTTTCAGGTAGGATTACCAAATGTGGGGAAGTCTACTCTCTTCAACACACTAACAAAGTTATCCATTCCAGCGGAAAACTTTCCTTTTTGTACCATTGAGCCTAATGAAGCTCGAGTGCATGTTCCTGACGAGCGTTTTGAATGGCTCTGCCAACTCTACAAGCCCAAGAGCGAGGTTTGTGATCCATATTCAACCACTAATACTGGCCACAAAAAGAGTTGCCGTGCCACTTTTTTTTCTTTCCCTTTATGTTGTTGTGACGATCTATTTGTTACCCAGTTGTTTATTGAATTACTCCGTATGAATAAAGTTTGATTTGCCTTTTGGATAACTTCTATTTTCTTTGATTCGTAATTTGTCTTTAAACCAGTGTCTCTTCTGGTTCATTTTTAATGAATATTTGACGCTATCTAGGTGGCTGCCTTTTTGGAAATTCATGACATAGCTGGACTTGTTCGAGGTGCTCATGCAGGACAAGGATTGGGAAACAGTTTCTTATCCCACATTCGTGCAGTTGATGGCATTTTCCATGTTCTACGTAATATAATCATTCTACATTTTGTCCTTCCATCTATCGAGTTATTTTTCTTGGGTTCTTTGTTTTACTTTGACAAATGTGGTCGGTATTATCTAAGTTATTATGTCTAGTTGTATCTTATGTAATCTCACTGTTGAATATCATCGTAAACATTTATGCTGTTTATCAGGTGCATTTGAAGATCCAGACATTATCCATGTCGATGACACTGTTGATCCTGTGAGAGATTTAGAGATTATAAGTGAGGAACTAAGGCTTAAGGTATGTTGGATCATGCACCTTGAGTTTTTGGAATTTGTTGTGGCAAGTATTCAATTATTCGAAGCCAGTAAGTTAGCATTTTGTAACGCCTGGTTGTTTGGGGGATTTCGTGGATTGCACTTTAATACTTAATTGACAAATATAATTTGTTGAAGTTTCTTTAATCATATCTTTCGGTAGATAAAATTCTACTATGTTCCCAATCATGAATACCTAGGAGTTCACATATTTATCAAAAAAAAAAAAAAAGGAAAGGAAAGGAAAGAATACCTGTGGGTACTTCAAGATGGGTTGCATGCAACATGCAGCAAGAAAGCTGTCTCATATTGGGGTTATGGAAGGAAAGTACTTTGATGAAAGAGTGCTCTTTCAATTAAAAAAAGCCACTTGAACAAATTCTCTATTGTTTCCTGACACATGAAGATGGTTAGTAGTCTTCTATCAGGTAAAAATAGGTTTTTACTATAACACTTGCAAATAATTTAAAAAAAGCATTTTTAATGCAAATGGTGGTGCTTTGTGTATGTATGAATGTACAAGGAGCATTCAATTATCTATGAAATTACATGATTGAGATTCCTGCATGGAATGATGCTGTGTTATCAGGATGTTGTTTTGTCCATTACTGAGGCTTCAGATCTTTCTGCTGGAAGTTTATTTTTGGAACTAATATGCTGGATTTCCTGTCAGTCTGGCTCTTTAGAAGGAATTTAAAACTAGTGTAGATTGTAAATGCTGGCATCTTCAACTGAATGCGCCTTGTTGCCTAAAAGTGCCATGTTCACTGGGTTGATCTCATGAAATATGTCATCCTTTTGTGTAAACCAGGACATTGAGTTCATGGAGAGGAGGATAGAAGATCTTGAAAAGAGCATGAAGAGGAGCAATGACAAACAATTGAAAATAGAGCATGAATTGTCTCTAAGGGTTTGTGTCTATTGCTCTTCATCCTTTGGCTTTTTTCACTTGCCTAAATGTTTATTCTCATTTCTATATCTGTTTAGACTTTCTTGATCTCTTGGTTGCCAAGACGTTAGGAGGTGGCAATATGAAGTATATTTGTTTTGGTATAATCGGTTGACATTCTTGAATTTTAAACTAACTAGATGTTTTAGTACCGTTAGATATTTTTATCCTCCAAATAATAGAAATATCTGTCGTAAAAATGGGTTCCCTTCTCATAACATCCTTTGCATGAGAATGGGGACTGATATCGGTAAAGATGATTGATTATCCATCTCAGATAAGATTAGTTGATTGGGTGACTTTTCTTAATTTGTGCATGCTCATTTCTGGTGAAATGTCTTGACAGAAATCATAATTGTTTCAGAGAGAAGGTTGGTGTTGGACTTGTCTTCCACTACTTTTCAGCTGCTTGTAGTTGAGTCTAAATTGATTTGAAAAGAAAAAGAACTTTCTCTTATTTTTTTTGTTTTGTTTTTTCATCTTCACCTGTCTTACTTCGCCGTAGTTCTCCAGGTAATGACTGCAAAAACATGAACACTTTTTGTAGTTCATTTTACAGAGAATTGAATGATTAGACAGATCTAAATATGGAACTATGATGCTGCGTGTTTTCACAGGTCATGGCATCACTCAAGGAAGGTAAAGATATCCGTCTGGGGGACTGGAAAGCTGCAGATGTTGAATTTTTGAATACTTTCCAGTTGCTTACTGCGAAACCGGTTGTTTACTTGGTGAGTTTAATGTTCCTAACCCTCCCTATTTTGGCTATGGTCCAGATCCTTCAGAACTTATGTTCTGGAAACAACAATGTGGTTTTTGAATACAACAACAAAATACCCAGTATTATCCAACACTATGGGGTCTGGGGAGGGTAGTGTGTACGCAGACCTTACCCCCTACCTTGCGAGGATAGAGAGGCTGTTCCCAATAGACCCTCGGCTCAGGAAAGCATAAGCACCACATTAATGAAAATATAGACAAGAAGGGACAATACCAATAATCATATAAAAGCGGAGTAAAGACAACAAGATAGTAAGGTGATCAATAATGAAAGAAAACAACGGTTAGTCATAAAAATGTGGTTTTTGAATATTTATCCAAAATTATAACACTGCATACACTGGTATTATAAAGGGCAGATTTGTTCCTTTCTGGGTTTAGTTACAGTTAACTATTCAAAGTTGTCACTGCTATCCCAAAAGATCCATTTTTGCTTAACCAATAAAATAAAAGTTTTTTGAATACAGGTAAGAAATGTTGCCTCCTATTTCCTTTTGAAATGAGTGTGTGTGTGTGTGTGTGTGTGAGAGAGAGAGAGAGAGAGAGAGAGAGAGAGTTTCTTTGTATAATTTAGAAGCCCCCCTAAAAATTAGAAGCCATATTGAAAGCGAAGGCCCACCTCTACTTGTGAACAAATCAGATAAATTATTGACATTAAGAGAACCTTTCTTATGCAATCTATAATTATCTTGAATAAACCTCCTTTTATGACAGAAGAAGAGCCAGATTTCCTGTCTATGTTTTTGTCGCTATTTTATGCTCTACTAGGTTTATTTACTGTATCTCATCACATCGTTTGCATAGTTTTCGCAATGCTTTAATGTTTCTTATATTGCCAACAAAGCAGCAACTTGATTAGGATAAAAAGAATAATGAACTGTGCCTACTGATTATGTAACGGATCATTGGCAGGTTAACATGAATGAGAAAGACTATGCAAGGAAAAAGAACAAGTTTCTGCCCAAGATTCATGCTTGGTATGGTCCATCTTTCTTAGCAGTTATCACGAACTTCGAGGGATTTGTGTCAAATTTTTCTGTTCAGAAGAGAAATCAATATTTGTTTATGACAAAGAGATTATTTTGAATTCTACAAAAAATCAGTATACTGCAATATGTAGCACTCTCGTGCTTATATAAGGTTGGGTACATCATTAATCATAAAAAGAACGTGGGTTACATTATCGTTCTTTCTTTGCTCTTGTTCCCTAGAATGTCATCTGCAAAGCAATGATATGTGGGGACAACAAAGATCAGATGCATGCGAGAATGTGCTCACTCATAAACTATATGTGGGGACAACAAAGATCAGATGCATGCGAGAATGTGCTCACTCATAAAGAAACTATATTATGTCGCACTTCGGCTATTCTGCTAGTCTTGAAATTGTTACTTTGAAGTTGCAAGATATTAAAGAAATCCCTCTTCTCAGTCATGGCTTTACCCATCATACATTAAGTGCCTGTGGAGCTTCTTGTTTCTGGTCTCTTATTTTGTCACTCTTAGTGTTAAAGTATTAAATTTCTTTGCCTTCATTTCATGAATTCACTTTGTTTTGAAACTAAATCAAGTAAATGAGATGTTTGAACGTGCATTTTGGTCCACATGCATCCAGTTTAATTGACGATCTTGATGAGGTCCCGGTGAACTTCTACTCTGGTTATGTGATTACCCTATTGTTTTAAATTTTCATGTTTGCATGGATCTATTTCCTTCTTATGTGGACTATTTCAGTCATGTTTCAACATTCACTGTTTGTGGCATATTGTGATCATGAATATATTTCAGTGTTTAATTCAGAACTACACCACACCTCAAATGAGTTTTTTTCCTGGAGATGCCCTTCATGCCACTTAAATGGTTTTCCTGTATTTTTTATGGTGCTATGTTATGACTTTTTTTTATCTTTCACCTAGATTACACCTTGTTTATTATTCTAGATATGTCAAGACTTTGTTAACATAAAAAAACTATGCTTTCACAAATTTCTAGGGTGCAGGAGCATGGCGGTGAAATAATTATTCCTTTCAGTGCTGCTGTGGAGAGAAACCTTGCTGATATGCCACCAGATGAAGCTTCAAAATACTGTGAAGAGAACAAGTTACAAAGGTTAGGTTGTAGCGATAAGGTCTCTAATAATTAGATACTTTTATTCTGTGCATTGCTCTAAAAGAATTTTTGGAGTTTTAAAAGATTTCACAACTGATAGTTATTTAGCAATTGCTATTAGATACTTTTATTCTATGCATTGCTCTAAAAGAATTTTTGGAGTTTTAAAAGATTTCACAACTGATAATTATTTAGCAATTGCTATTAGAGGGGGGTGTGGGGGGCGGGGACTTGTCCTTATTGGTTATATCTGATTCATTTTCACTCTCTCCTTCCTCATTGTTTCATCTTTTTCCTTAAGTTGGCTACTACCATTATAAGAATCACATCTTACATTTTCATTAAAAAAAAGAATCACATTTTACATGCATAAAGAGGTAGTTGGAACAGTATCTCAGCATGCTCTCTCTGGTAGTTTGGAAAGAAAGGTAGTGATTGTTTTGGATGCAAGTAACCTCCCGTGCACACACTTGCTTTTGTGATAAGGTAAATGAACCTAGTGAACATACTTACATGTAAATGTTTATATTAGCCTTTTGGACTAAAATGAAAAATTTATACAATATTAATAACTTCTTTGAGTCCCTTAATTCTTTTCAGGAACTTTATGAGATCTCATTTGTAGTTTTTCTGGATTCATCTGTATTCATGAATGCACTTGCTTAGTGCTTCTCTATGATCAATAACATTCTTATTTATACTTTAAAAAAGAGATTAATTAAATTCATTTTTACGTATTTAACTAGAAAAGGAAAAGTGATAGGTTATGCAAATAATTTTTGTTGTGTGTAATGTGCAAATTTGTCTCTTATAAAAGAAGTGTAATATGCAAATTTGTTGCTATTATAGTAAAAAGCAAGTCAAAGTTCTCACCTAGGACAACCATAGTAGCTGTCTTCTCTCACAATTTTTTTCCTCTCTCCCTATTGACCCATGTTCTAGAAGCGGGTGTAGACCTTAACCAGCATTGTTCATGTTGTTCCAATTCAAACTTGGGGCCTCAGTGGTAGGCATGGTGGGGTCACCAGCCCCTCCTAGCGCCATTTGGGGTGCCTTGAGGCCTCCTTTAGAGCCTTCCATGAGACCTTATTCCTCTTGTGCCCCTCGTGTCGATGACGTAACATGCCCTTGTGTGCTCAACTTCCGAAGCTCCGTTGGCACCTATTTGGCCATACTTTCACATGCACAATATGCCAGGACCCTCGTGCTCATATGCAACGCCACCGGGGCGTGCATTGCCGTACTGGTGCACTTGGCCTTGGATATGTTCTGTGCCATCCTTGTCTGTCACGCCCTGTGCATTCTTCCTTCTTTTTGGTGGCTAAATTGCTTTTGTGTGTGCACCTTCATGGTACCGTCCAGTTGGCTGAATTAACAGTGTTATCAAAGGCGAGCTTAACGCGCGCTTAAGCCTGAGGCGAGGTTCAAAGCATGTTGAGCGCTTCGCCTCCCTTAGCGAGCGCTTCAGTGTTATCATCAAGGTTCTAAATCATACTTTTCCTTGCCAATGAGCGTAATCCCGAAGAGGCGATACTAAACAATTGATATTTCATTTTATCGTAAATATTTTTCAATTTCTTTGTCCATATATTCGGTATTCATGCTTATAGATATTAGTCTTGGAGTACACGTACATATTTGTAGTTTTTCTCCATTTGCGCATTTTTTCATTAAAGCCCACGCTTTATTTGTGCATTGCGCTTAAAGCCTAATAGACCTTAAAGCTTTTTTGCGTTTTTCGCCTTTGGTAACACTAGCTGAATACCATCACACTGGCCATGCCTCTAGCCAAATACGTCCCTTGGGCGCCTCATGGTCCTTCTAGCTTATGAGCAATTGCGGCGTTTGTGGAAGGTCGTTGTATCATTGTATAGCTTATGCAGAGTTGGCTTGGTGCCTTTTGGAAGTCTGAGTGATATATATTTACTTATCAAAAGTATTTTGTTACATTTTCTTGGAGGCTTATAGCCGCCTTATATTTTAGATACATGGCTGATCGTTCCTTATTGTGTTTTTAGATAATTTAAACAGTTAAACTAACAATAGCCCTTGCTAACTCAGATTGGTTAACTTGCAATGCATGCCACTTGTCACAAAGGCTACATTTAATCATATAACGTAAGACAGGGTAGACTAAGTTTATCCTCTCAGCCATCATTTCATATATTTGACTTTTCTCGGGCACCTTAAGCTTTGAAGTTTTTGAATTTTGTCTTAATTAACACTACCATAGGATAAACATTCAATCCTCAAAGTGAGTAGTAAATACCACCTCTTATCCATATGTGCTGTGCGGTCCAACATGATCTATCTTAAGCTGTGTTTCATCAAGGAACTAGATGTAGCATGTAAAACCTGGCTGCTTGTGCTTGGTTACAATTAATCAATATAATTGACAAACATGATTGGACTTAACATTTCATCGTTGTCTTGAAACATCTAATCTGCAGTTGTAATGATCAGTAGTACCTTATTGTATTTCTTGGAATGGAAGCATGTCTGATGAATGCGGCTATTCAGAGATTATTATGGCATTGGACTACTTTGATGGGTTAAAGCCTCTAAATATCTGCTTTCTAGAAAGGGAAGAGGATACACGATTCTGCAATTTAAGCTACTTTTACAGTGGCTTTCTTTCTGGGTCAATTTGGTAATCCGATGTTATACGTTAGGATAATGATACCATTTTATTTGTTAAGCATCAATAGATCTTTTGCATTTACCTTATACCCTGCCAGGAAATAAAGCCTATGTATATATGAAAAGCATAATTTTCGTCACTTTATCCAGCTGACCTTGATTTATCATGCTACAGTTGCCTCCCAAAAATCATAAAGACTGGATTTGCAGCCATTAATCTTATTTATTTCTTCACAGCAGGGCCAGATGAGGTATTTCAAATTCTTCCTCTTTTTCATTCTCTCTCATTTCCTTCTTAATTAGCATTGAGTTTGATGCTGCATAGGTATTTACCCCCCCCCCCCCCCCCCCCCCACAATCGTAGTTTACATGATAGAATTTAACTGGATGTGGAATTTAAGATGTTAATTTGACATATATATTATATTAGTCATAGTGGAAACATATTAAAAGTAATGGCTGAAAAGTTAGTTTCATAGGAAAACATCACATCAAAGTTAAAGGTTGAACTGTTTAGTGATTTGAATTCTGGTAAGCTGTGCAAATTGTATAAAAATGAAATGATGCCAAACAAATTGAGATGTTCCAAAATGGAAAGTGTGTTGTATATAAATTAGCTGGAGACAATAGTCCTTTCTGCCCATGCTTTTCATGCTTATACTGGATTACTGGTTTTATTACACTGGCCTGCTTCTAAGATACATAATACTTTGTTTTGTAGTAGGGATTCAATTCTACATTGTTATCATGTTATATGGGGATTTAAAAAAAAGGGAAATCAGGGGAAATGCCCTTCTGCTTGTCTATAACTTGGTCCCCCCCAACCCCCTACACACACAAAAATAAAAAAATAAAATAAAAATTGAGCTCACCGTTTATCAGGCCTCATAACTGTTTTTTCCTCTTAATGCAGGTTAAATGCTGGCAAATCCGCAGGCTAATGAAGGCTCCTCAAGCTGCCGGAACAATTCATACAGATTTTGAGAGAGGGTTTATCTGTGCTGAGGTCATTTTGTTCCTTCTTTTTCCTTGTTCCCTACCCTTTTCAGGATTCAGAAAGTTAGATCCTAAACATTTCAGTTTATTCCTTACCTGACTGGATGGTGCAGGTTGTGGTTTTACCCCCATAAATAAATTGAATGTTTTAATTAGAAACTCCTGAGCGATTTCCAAACTGCTTTTCCAGGAAAGCCTTTCTTTTTTCAAAAAATGCCTATTCTTGAAAACTTCAATAACATTGAATTCCATATGTAGACTTTTGGGAATTGGACTTGCCCCAAAAAACTGGGGAATTTTGTTAATTGGAGCTGAAATATTTTATTGTGCTGGGCCAATGATTCTTATTCGAAAAAGTTATATCCTTTTCATTTATGAGTGCTTTAATATTAAGCTGCCACGTGTCTTTTCTCTTGATACAAATACTAGCCCGTGAAAGTGCTGACTTGGGCATTGGTGTCTTCAGGTGATGAAATTTGCTGATCTAAAGGAACTTGGTAGTGAGGCTGCTGTAAAGGTATTCTTATTGAGTTATCATTGGCAATATAATGACGCATCCAGTTTCACGAGTGGAATTGCATAAGACTCTATACTGGAAATAATATGTGCTTTAATTCTGCACAACTTTTTTTCGGGAAACAAAAAATAAGTTGAAGCAAACTTTTAATAAAAGGTTTTTTTTTTCATTATCAAAAAAAACTTTTAATAAAAGGTTTCTACGAGAACAAAAATAATGTGAAAGACTAAGAGTTAAACTTAACTCTCACACAAATGGTAGCACGGCCTATATCTATATATTATTCTTTTCTCATATTTTTGTGCTGTATTCAGCACAACTTGTTCTCAGAAAACAAAAACAAGGTAAAACAAAATTCTGATAAAATTTGTCCATAAAATAAAAGTAATGTGAAAGACAGTAGTAAAACTCAACTCCTAAACAAATAATAGCTCTGGTTATACCTATATCTTCTCTTTTCTTCAGATATGGTTGTGCTTCCAAGTATATATAATATCCAGCCAGACATGTGTTCCCGCTCCTTTACCTTTTTGTGTCAGGGCAGCTTTTCATCTTGTTAGGTGAATTGGATATGACAGTCTGTGAATTCTTCTCTAAGCTACACTATATATGTATTACTCAAGTTACTTATCACAAAAAAAAAGGGGGGGGGGGGGGGGGGTCGGGAGGCATTGGCCTAGCGGTTAATGAAGTGGGTGAAAATCATGGGAGACTACGGATTAGGGTTCAAATCCCAGTTGAGACAAAAAAATGTAAGGTGATTTCGTCCAATCTGCCGAAGTCTCGGTGGACAGTGTTGTCCGGTACATGTGCTGGTGGGAGATAGCAAGTGCTAGTTGAGGTGTGTGCAAGTCGGCCCATATTAATATGTTAAGAAAAATGAAATGCGAATATACTTTGTGATGGACTTCATAAATAAAAAGATATTTTGGTAATGGAAGCAAACTGGATGTCAGCATGCTCTTCATAAGCAACAGATGAAATGACGAGATTACAATTTTTGGCAATATCTCCGTACTAGGAGCTGTACATTGTGCATGTTATTGTTCAATTCTGTAATTAGGACTGGCTTCATGTGTTGTTATGTTGTCCAATGAACAAGTCTGATAAGCCAAAACCAGCAGTTGCAAGGTTACAGTTTTGTTCCTTCACGTGACTTGAGTTGTGCACAAAGCTGGAATTCCTTTATACATGACATTTCAAATTTATCTAAGGTGAATTTGCTCTTCCACAGGCTGCAGGGAAGTACAAGCAGGAGGGCAAGACCTATGTGGTCCAAGATGGAGATATTATATTCTTCAAGTTCAATGTCTCCAGCGGTGGGAAGAAGTGAGGTGCGTTTCTACACGAAACTTATGAAGCTGCGTCAACTCAGTTGCGAGTTGGAAGATGATATAATTTTGCCCATGATTATTAGGTCTAATTGGCAGAGAAATTTGTATCTTGTATGGGAGGATTCTGCAAACTTCTGCATTTATGATATGCTTCATATAGGTGTCAATCTGCATTTATAGCTTGTCGGACATGCAAGTCTTTTTCGTCTTTTGATTTGCATACTATATACTTTCTTTCAGTGCGATGTTGCCAAATCCAATTTATAAGTGGTTCTGGCATTTGCGTATTTGCATTTGTGATGTAGTATTTGAAGAAATGATCTGGAGAAATGGCGACAAATTTGAATCTCGTTAGTTTTTTGCCTTGGAAGCTAGAATTTTCTAATGTTATTTTATCACTTAATCTATTACTATTATTTAGTTATTATGAAAACTTTAATACATGATATTAAATAAAAATTTAAGAAAAATAAAAATCTTTTAATATTAACATGTATAAATCATAGAGCATCACGCAATGTTCCTAATTATATAAAAAAGAGATAAGACTGACATTATAACCAAAGTGCCTTGGCCACAATTTATAGGAAGGAGTAAGGCTATAAACTAATGATACTGCAAGGGCGGCCAAAATTTTTACTTGTGGGATTCAAAAACGGGAGTGAAATGTATTAACGATATAGGAACCCGAGAGCTCATAAAAATTGGGGCTCTTTTCGTATATGCACTAACTTATAAAGTTATTTACCAAAATTGATTGGTTTTTTCTACAAATTATATACATCGTAATTAGGGCAGCATTTTTCTCTTATCTCTTTCATCTCCCTTCCTCTCTCCTCTTTCCCTGTTCTCTGTTGCCTCCCTCCTAATCCCTATAGCCGTCGGAAAACAGTCAATTACAGCTCTGAATCAAACCTCAGAATCTCTTATGTATAGTTAGCGGCCAAATCAAAATACCCCAGTTGTTTTCTTCGCAGAAGTTGACTTCGAAATTTCTGACCTAAGCGCTAGTAAATCAAATTCAATCGCCTCCAAATTTCAAATTCAGCTTCGTATTAGTGTTTCCAACAAGAATCTATGTTACGTAGTTGATTTTTCACATAACTTTCAAATCTCGGACAAAATCCATTTCTCTGAAGTGCGATAATGGTGCTTCTAATGGTGGGCCTTAAAATTTCCCCCCTCCAAAATCCTTCAATTCCTATTAATATCAAGTTTTTTTTAGTTCAAACGAACACGAACCAAGCAAATGAGCCTATTTGGACTGCATTTCTTTCTTTAACAAATCAAGCTAAGAAAAGAAAAATGTATTGTATAGCAGCATACAAATTAAATATAAATTTTGTACAAATTTGATATAAAGTTGATACGGCAAAGGGCCAAATATATCCCTATACTATCACAAAATATTTAAATACACCTCTCCTTATACTTTTGGTTCAAATATACCTCTGCCGTAATAGTATTGGTTCAAATATACCCATCTTCCGTTAAATTTGTCCAATGTGGATATCCAATACTACGTGACACTGACATTTGATGAGGTGGATGCTACATGGCATGCCACCTCAGCGCCCTTAATCCATATATAAAAGATTAAAATTTGGAATATAATATTTTTCATGGTAACGGTTAGGGGTGTACATAGGCCGGGTTGGTTCGGATTTTTCAAATACCAAACCAAACCAATTGTCTCGAATTTTTAAGTTTATAAACCAAATCAAACCAACAATAGTCATGTTTTTCAATGGGAAAATTTCATATTAAAATAACTGGGCTGCCTACTTTTCAACTTTATAGCCCTTCCGAAAAAAGGGCGTTATTTCCGTTTTTTGGGATTCAGAAGCGGGATTTTGTATCTTTCATATTTTCTCTCATTCTTTCCATTCTTCTTCCCCAAATCTAAAAAAACGCGATCTTACAGTCAATGCAACTCCAAAAAACCTAGAAATTCTTCTTCATCTCGAATTAACAGCAAATCAAACACGAAAAGTGAATTTTTTTTGCTGCAATCAGCGCGATTTTCATTTTTGTTGCAATTTTGATTTCAACTTTTTGTTCGATGGAGATTTTTCCAGTTTACGTTCTTCATAGTGGTGAATGGGAAGAAAACATGTTTATCAATTTTGTCGGTGATTGTGTAATAATCGAGTTGACATTCAGCTACAACAATTTAGTTGCAGCTATTTCGGAATAGATTAGAATCGATTGTGAGTTAAACACATTAGAGATTAACTTTCTCCCCAAGGATGGTTTGCCACCGATCCTGATTTACAACGATACGGGTGTTAAGGTGTATATCTTATTAAAGAAGAAGAACTTGAATTTCACTAAATACCCGTTGTATGTGACTGTGAAAGAGATTTATGATAATCGTTTGGTTGCTACAAGTTCCAGTTGTTTGGTTGCTACAAGTTCCAGATGTTTGGTTGCTACAAGTTCCAATTGTATAGATGTATCCACAATTGATAGCACTGAGATTATGCCTGATGTCGAATTTATTGAAAACACGAAATTTAGTGAAAACACGGGTATAATAGATAATATGTTGAAAGAATTTGTTGAGGAGGATAAAGTTTATAAAGATAAAGAGACAGTTGTCAGTGTGATGAAGAACTTGGCTGTACGCGAGAGGTTCCAATTCAAGGTGAAGAGATCAAGCGCAACAAGGTATGACAATAGTTGTATATTCTGTTATATATATGTATAAATATGTATAAAGTAGTATATATTTGTATATAGGTAGTAAAATTAGTATATATCTAGTTATGTTTTTGTATACAAGTGTATTTAGAAGTTGAATGATCTTTAATCCTAGGTATCACCTTATGTTTGTGGATGATAATTGTGCTTGGAGTTTTAAATCTTCTGCCGTTTACAAGGCAAACATATTCAAGGCGAGAAGTTACAATAATAATCACACATGCGACTATGGTGAAAGATACTTAACACACGTCAAGCTACTTCAGGTGTAATTGCTAGTATAGTCAAGGACAAGTATGTTAATCCAAAAAAAGTTTACATCGCAAATGATATAATAGAGGACATACAAGAGCAACACGGGGTTGAAGTGAGCTACATGAAAGCATGGAGAGCTAAAGAGATAGCAATGGCAATGATAAGAGGGAATCCGAGCGATTCATAGAAGGCGTTGCCAAGGTATTTGTATATGTTGGAGCATGCGAATCCAGGAACGGTTACAAAGTTGCACAAATCAGAAGATGGATGCTTTCTTTATGCATATGTTTCGCTATATGCATCTATCAAGGGTTGGGAACATTGCAGACCGATAATGGTTATTGATGGAAGTTTCTTTAAAGCAGCATATAAAGGTACCATATTGATTGCTTGCACATAGGATGGAGCTGGTGAGTTGACTGTATCTACCTTGTTTCTACAGTCTGTATAATGTTGTAGTTTCATGTATAAACGTGTATAGGTTTTCAGAGCTGCTGTTTTTATAAAATTTGCAGTATGTATAAAGTTGTATATTCATGTATAAATGTGTATAAGATTTGTATAATTGTCTGAATCCTAATATCTATTTTGTATAAACAGAAAAAATCCTTCCACTTAGGGGTGTGCATTCGAATCGGTTTATCGATAAATCGAATCGATTATTTGTTATCGGTTTATCGATTTATCGATTTCGATTTCGAAATTTTCCTTATTGAGTTATCGATTTCGATTTCGATTTTGTCCTCTTCGGTTATCGGTTTATCGATAAACCGATAAGATATACTAAAAAGATAAATATACCCTTAATGGAAAACAGAATTAGAGAGGTTACTCCGTTGTAAGCTAATTTCTCAACAATGGGAAAGCAGAAGGAAACTTCCGCCATTGATATTGACGATCAGAACAGATCTCCGTCAATGGAAAATACACGAATATTTATATTCGTCAGGGTGGTTGAGCCCGGTAATGACAAGCTTTTGGGATCAAACCTAGTATGGGACATAGTGAAGAAGGTCCAATTTACTTATTCAAGACTAAAAGCAAGCCAATGCAGATAGAAATCCTGTGCGGAAGGTAGACAGTAATGACTATATATAGTGCACCAACAGTAAGGAAACATCATTCCAAGGAGATAGCTTCGCTTGAATTATTACTACGGCATAATCACTCCAGTGAAGAAGCAACGTTTGAAACTGACGATGAGATGAAATTGAGAAATCTTCACCTTTTCAATCTTACATGTAGGTTGAGTTTTAATTTGTGTTCACTTTTTAATGAGATGCAGAATTTTTTATTTTATATGTCTTGCTAAAAAAAAGGAAAACAAAATTAGCCGTGATGATGTATTTTTTTTTTATATACCGTTGGAGTGTTGGTGGCATACATTTGATCCCTTACTTTAGTTTCGTTGCATGTGCTTGTTGACACAAGTGTTCATCTTATTTTAGCTTCTTTTTGTCCATATTAGTTAGGCATGTTTATAGCGATATACTTTCCGTGGAATCCCGCAAATTTTCTTATTCGTTTAATCGATAAGCCCCAAAAATCGATAAATCAAAATCGAAAAAATCGAAACCTAATTGAAACGATAACGATAAGCATATGTACAAATCGATAATCGATAAGTAATTATCGATAAGGGTCAAAATCGAATCGATAAATCGAATGCACACCCCTACTTCCACTTGCATATGCAATTGTAGATTCAGAGAATAATAAATCTTGGTAGTGGTTCTTCGTCCAGATAAAGGGTACTTTTGGTGTTAGGGAAGGGATGTGTATAGTTTCAGATAGAAATGAAAGCATCTTCAATGCCACAAAAGTTGTGTACCCAGAAGTGCCACATTGTATTTGCATGTTTCACTTGTGGCAGAATGTCAAGCACATTCAAGAAACATCACAAACAATTGAAGGATATCTTCTTCGCTTTGGCTAGAGCTTACACGATAGAGAAGTTTGACTACCATATGACAGAGATGTGCAAAATTGATCCGAGGGTGCAGCCTTACTTGTTCGAAATTGGCTACGAAAGGTGGTCTAGGGCATACTCCAAAGTGAAAAGGTCGATGGTAATGACTTCCAATATTGTAGAGTCAATTAATGCATCAAACAAAGATGCTAGAGAGTTACCAGTAATGTGATTTCTGGAGTACATGACAAATTTGCTACAACAGTGGAACAACAAAAACAGAAAAAGTGCAATGGAGACATCTACAGAGCTTGGCGAAAAGTACGACAAACTCCTTCGGGAAAATCTGATTGCATCGGAGCAAATGACGGTAAAACGAATCAAATATAATGATGCATGACACTGTTGACTTGCATTTTATTGCTTGTGTAAGGATGTATAACTCTGTATAATAATATATAATGTGCTTTAGCTTCTTTTTTTTTAAAAACTTTTGTAGCTG